CTCTCCTCTTCTACACGCACCCAGATGATTTGCTCTCAACGCCGGTGGAGCCGGCAGCAGCTGCAGCAGCTGCAGCAGCAGCAGCAGCAGCAGCAGCAGCAGCAGCAGCAATACTACAGGCCGCAGCTCATGCTGCTGCTGCCGTCGCTGCTGCTGCAGCTCGTGCTGCTGCTGCTGCTGCTGCTCTGCAGTCGCGGGGCCCTTGCAGCAGATACAACGGTGAGCCGAAGCCAAACCTCTGATGCTAAACCACAAACCCTAAACCCTAAACCCTAAACCCTCTTTCTATGGAATGCCATTCCCTGCATCCATAGCAACAACCTCGACAGACAAACTCTAGGGTTTAGGGTTTAGGGTTTAGGGTTTAGGGTTTAGGGTTTAGGGTTTTGCTGTGCAGGAGGTTATCCGCCCTTCGGTCCACGCGGGATCGTGGTATCCTGGCTCAGGTACCTAAACCCTAAACCCTAAACCCTAAACCCTAATATAAGCTGTAGAGGCGGTTGTATGCACCGCGGCCCCGTCCCCGGACCCTTACGATGCATTCTAGGGTTTAGGGTTTAGGGTTTAGGGTTTAGGGTTTGTGTGCAGGAGCTGAACTCCGCGCTGCTGTCGATGCGCTGCTCGATGGCGCCTCCACCGTAGAGGGCACAGTGAAGACTATCATCGTCCCGTAAACCCTAAACCCTAAACCCTAAACCCTAAACCCTAATCTGAAGTTTGTGCAGACCCCTACCCAGCCAGCTCCTTCGTTTCCGCCCTCCTGGAGGCTCTCCGAGCTTGGGGTTCAGGCGCTGTGGTTTAGGGTTTAGGGTCTAGGGTTTAGGGTCTAGGGTTTAGGGTTTAGGGTTTAGGGTTTGTGAGCAGGCACGCGGCGTTTCAGTATTCTGGGCCGACAGCAGCGGTGGCGTACAAGCAAATGTTGTCTCTTCAACGCACAGTGTAAGAAATATTTGAGGGTTTAGGGTTTAGGGTTTAGGATTGAGGGTTTAGGGTTTAGGGTTTAGGGTTTAGGGTTTGGGGTTTACAGGAAGCGCGTGGTGCTGCTCGCCACCTGGCACACGGACTCTGCTGCTCTGCTGCTGCCGCCGGAGGAGTTTAGTGCTTTTGGTTCTCCCATTGGTTCGGTCCCTCTAGACAGAGAAGGTAAACCCTAAACCCTAAACCCTCATAAACCCTAAACCCTAAACCCTAAACCCTCAACAGATGATACTCAAACCCTCGTCGTCAGACCGTATACTTCTATGCGTTGCAATAGAGCTCACCCTTAACCTCACATGCTGCGTACTAGCTGAAAGCATTGGGGGCGGGGGGTATTATCAAGGGTTTAGGGTTTAGGGTTTAGGGTTTAGGGTTTAGGGTTTAGGGTTTGTTGCAGCCCTGAGCGCACTGTTTTCTACGGGCCTGTATGATACCGCTCCCGCGGAGCAGGAGATCCACGAGCATTCAATTGCGGTGCAGGTTCCCTTTCTGAAGAGAGTTTTGCCAGAGTGAGTTTATTGAGGGTTTAGGGTTTAGGGTTTAGGGTTTAGGGTCTAGGGTCTAGGGTTTAGGGTTTAGGGGCTTCTAGGGTCTAGGGTTTGGGGCCTACAGTTGCAGCGGGAGAAAGCGACGAGAAACCCTCGTTTATACAACTCTACTATCTAGGGTTTAGGGTTTGAGGGAAAGGGTTTAAGGGTTTAGGATCAGGGTTTAGGGTTTAGGGTTTAGGGTTTAGGGTTTAGGGTTTGTGGTACAGAGGAGCGCTCTTG